CGTGAAGATGCGGCGTAATGGTTAATTTGCCGGAATTATATCCCCAAATGTCATGGGTTGAGTCCCGCTGGGGGTGCTGTAGAGACCCGTTCAAGCAAGTTCGAAACCTCGATCCAATCCAGCCAGGATGAGAAAGAATTTTGCAAAAATAAGCCCATGTGAAATTCAAAGGGAATGTATGGTCTACTAATTTAATTATATGAAAATTCGTCTAATGGTCCCCTTTTCACATTAAAATATGTAGATTAGATACACCTCATACATATAGTCTACTACTAGTTTTGAAAACCTATTTAAAAACGAAAAATACATAAAGAATTGTATTGGAGATTTTTGTTACTGGTCATTTGTTTAATATAGAAAGACTATTTCACTGGATATGTCTAGTTGTAGTGATTTTAAAGCATGAAATATCATCTCCTATTTCCTCAATGTAGTCAATATGGAGAAGCTTGAACTATCAGACCTGAGATTTCTAATCTAAAAATTGTAGGAATTAATATGAATAAGGATAAGCATGACGAAATTCATAGCTGAGATTGGACAAACCTACCAAGTTCTAACTCTTCTAATTGATCATTTGTGAATGACGTCCGATTTCGTTGCACTTTGTAGTTGTCTCTTCCCTCCTGTTTGCTGGCTGGGGTATCAATACTAGAACTCGAAAGTCCCATCTCCTTAAGACTTGACATTGACAGCATTTGAGCTCGTTCGAGATTTCTCGACCCATCCGTTGTAACAACGGAGCTAGTTCCATTATCAGGCTCCTCTTCGCTCTCTTCCTCTTCTTCCTCTTCTTCCTCTTCGTCTTCGTCTTCTTCATCTTCTTCCTCAACCTCATCCTCTTCGTTTCCCTCCTCATCTGCACCTCCTATTTTGTTGGCCTTTTCTTTTTCATCTACCTCCTCCTCCTCTTCTATCTCCTCATCACGTTGCTGTTTTCTTAACTTGTCATCTTCATCTTGTTCATCGCTTTCTTCGTCCAGCCCTTCTCGACTCTCATTAAATTCAGCCGAATCGAATAGCTTCGACCTATCTTCTTTAGTGAGATAACCATTTCTTGTCTGTCGAAATGTGTGTCTCTTTCTGGCGGGAATTGAGGGAGAATCACATATTTGTACACTACTTCTCGATTCCAGTCCTACAAGCTCGATTGGCGAATGTCGCATTGGATCGAGAATTGGAGTTGGGTTGCAGACATTTCCTTTCAGGCTGATGCTCTCACCTGATTCACCATTATTCCTACAGCAGTGGTTATCATGAACATCGATGCTAGAACTACGGTCTTTATTAAGACTCTTCTTGACTTGCACTAAACCGGCACCATTGCCTCTATTCGTCATCAACGCTGTCTCAGATGCGGCAGCGGATACTCTCTGCGGAGGGTACAAAATCGAACCTGAGAGACGTAGATCCTGTACATTTCTATGATTATCGAGACAGGCCAAATTCTGGAAATTTGAATGGCCCGGACTTACAGCACAACTGGCCTCCAACATGACATTTGGAGGTGTTCCAATTGGATCTCGAACAAGACGATCCAACGGAAGGACTTGCTCTGGAACGGCATACAATTTCCTGACTTCAGCTCTGTCTTCCTGTGCTTCTTCCCCATCCATGTTGTAGAGTTGAGGAGATACCGTACGCAGGGAATTTCTGACAGACGTCGGGTCTAAATAAAAGGAAGGTATGAAATGATAAAAATATGATACTTTTATAAAGATCCATACCAAAGGCTTCATATACATTTGGATCCGACACGACTCTTTCCCAGTTTTATAGCGAATATGCTCTGAAGTCATCAGCTAATTAATGTAAAAAGCTGAGTTTCGCCATTAATTGGCCAGCGATTTGAAGATGGGTAAGTGATATACTCGTTAATAGATTTGTCAGAAAGATGCTTGTATCATGCACCCAAAAAGTTCTATATAGTCAATGAAGCATCATGTTTTACACCATTTATTGTGGAACCTCTAATGCTAAACGAGCTCTAGAAGTATGTGCTCAATGCAATCCTTAAAACCACTTAATTTAGGAATAGTGATTGTAGAAGAATATAGTTGGAGTAATTGTGACATGACTTTCCATTTCGAGGGAAAAGTTGGCTTGAAGGAATTCGTGATCTGATCTCACCGGAAACCGAAGGGAAAACTGCTGTATTGTGCGAAGAAATCTTTGGCTCCCCGTCCTGTGACCACGATGAAATGGTAAAAGCTTTCGGCTGAACTGTGACAGACATCGTTATAAAAAGAATCTATGCCTAACCAACTAGAGGAAAGATATATTAAATCAAAAGAAAAGGTGGCAGATAGCAACCCTAATTGCTTTTATATTCACCTAACCTTACGATCTTAATGAGGCATAACATGCTTTGGTTGCCTACTTTGACTTTAGTCTACATGCTTGCAAATGAGGCAAGCCACTTCCCGATCTGGAAGTAAATTTGGTGGCAGCCGTTTCATTACATAAATAAACTAACACACAATCATTCAATGTTGTTGTCTATTGTGCGTATGTAATTGTGATGTCGTGGAAAGTGTGATAGCCCTAAGTAAACAAGAGACAAATCCAGCCTCCTTCTCTTCATCTACTTAAGCCTATCCAACAGCCACAAATAGTTCCTACTCAGTTGTATACACTCGTTTCTTCCATTCACGGCGTTGGCTATTTTATTACTTTCTATAGACTCTCTAATATTACACTTTGATGTAAAGTCCCAATAACCCGCAAAACTTTGTGTCTTGTATCGGCCTATTGAGCATCCCGTATTGGCAAAATGTGTTCAGTGGGCATAGTCTTGGATCGCTTTTTGATGGATCGGCAGGTATCCCCAACATAGACCTTACCACATGGCAACAAAACCTTATAGCAGTATGATCGAAAAAGAGGGCCCAAAAATTCTCTAAACGAAGGAAATACCGAATAAAATGTAATTTATCTTTATACATTGTTATGTCCTATCTCCTCGGTAGATCATCCAGCTTTCCTCAAGCTGACAGTAAAGCAAAATCAGGAACCGAGTAGAATTGTCCAGTTGTTTATCACCCCCTACTATTCACAATTGATACATAATTGTATACTTTCCTTAATTGATAATTGATTCGAAATAATATATGCCTTAATCTACCGATCTCCTTCTCCCCATGGTTTGCGTATGCTAGATATGGACACCTTAATATCATTCAGTTCATAACTTCTACTTTGACTCTATATGTATGGTAGGAAAAGAAATACATAAGGGAATTCGCGTATGTTGGTTTTCTGTACACATCTCTGACGAACTTATTGCCTTTTTACTCGCTAATATACCAAAAAAAGAATAATTTATTTTCGCTTCAAAGTTGTGTTTCGAGACTACCTGTGACTATATGAGATGTATTCACCCTATTTCGTTTAAGGTGATGGAGGATTGGTACCTCAATTTTCCCATAATGATATGATTAGAGCTGATCCTTACAATTAATTTCACATAGTCTTGCTTTTACAAAAGGTGTTCTCATCCAGGTCTTATAAATACCTTCAGCAGGAGTCGAACTATGTCAGTGCAGCGTGTAATCTCGACATGTTAACCACTCCTTTACATTGCTATGAGTTCCCTTGGATCACAGAGCAAATGTGAATTTCTAGGAAGTTTAGGCTTTTTCCCATATCACATTCTATACTTTCTTTTTCTGACTCAAAAGTAACTTAGTAGTGCATCTATTATATTTATTAACTCAAACGATTCCTTCAAACTATCTTTGCTGTTTTGTCAAACAACAAAGCAATCGTCCATATAACAAATAAAATAAACTGGGAACTGGGAGTGCTGCTTGAAGAGCACGGACTTTTGATTGAGCCATGCAGTTATTAGCTAAACTAGAGGCTAAACAAAATCCCATGACTAAGCCCATGTTTGCTCATACAACTTACCATTGAAGATTAAATATGTATTATTCTAATGACTGAATCTTTGTCCAACTTTTTACCGGATATAATTTCAGGATGTTGATCTATATTTAATTCTAAGGCCTTAATTGCTTCCTTTCTCTGAATGTTAGTGTACATCAAAACTTACTAGTAAATCTGATTATCAACTAGCTTTAAAAAGTCGTTTCTGAGATTTGTTTTTACTGGATACATTATAAATCTTAATGTTTTATACATTATGCCACCTCCACTATTTACAACAATCCTAATTGGGGTCATCTACTTAGGAAGTTTTGGGCAAACCATACGCGTTTGTGGGACTAGCATCTCGCTGGAGAAGTGTGTTTCCACTTTTCACTTTTCCATTTCTCCGCTTTTTACACATTGTTGCAGAAGTCCTCTAAGTCTGAGCTCAAGGCCTGCTGCCTGGTATCTAATTATAATTTTATTTATTGTATCATCATCGAATGTCCTAAATAATCAGTCCTAGCCATAACTACTACTGCTCTTCCTCTGCCTACCCTCAATACTAATTGTTCAATCGCCGTAAGCTTCCGTTTAATAGTATTAACTGTCATTTTCTTATTTAGTGCTTCTACATGGACATAAATTAAAGGGACAGCCTCATCAGTGGAGATATCAAAAAAAAGTTTTGGATAGGTTTAATACAATTTGGCACCCTTCAATTTTTTTGAGCAAATTCTTATACCAAAATTTCTTAATTTATTATCATGTGTCCTCTTGCTTGTCTAAATACTGTGTCATGTAGCCTAACCGCTATTCTTTGGAGCTTAAGGAAGTCTTCCGAGCTAAGAGCATCGTAAAAGATTTGCCTAAGTCTAGTCTTCGTTTTAATTGACGATGGCAGTCTTACAATGGTTTTCTTGAGTCCGATATCAGCCAAATCATTACATACATTTAAAAAAATCAGTCTTAGATACACACGGTAAATTAGGTCTATAAATTATACAAAATCTAGGCATAATTGCACGGAAAAAGCAAACTTTCAAGTAATGAATGTGATCTACTTGCCTGGTAAAGTTACATGTTTCCTGTGAGACCGCATCACTTATTTCTTCTGACTAACTTCTTCTTCGAAATGGAAAGTCATGCCACAATATGTCACTAAAAAAAATTTTTCAAACCAAGTTTTTCTTCATTTTTGGAACACATTTCATATCGTTTAAAGAGGCGAATAAAAGGGACTCGTAAGTCGGCCTAGCTATAAACCTAAGGGGAGTCTTTTGGAACTTTATTTATAGGCTTGTGCGAATACTAGCTCTGCTAATAACTTAATATAGTCTATCTTTGTTCTCTTCAAACGATTCTTCTAACCCCTGTTTTTAGACATACCTAGGCAATATAATATATTTTAATGCTATTTATTTGGTCTAGAGGAGCGAAATGAATTATTAGCACTCAAAATTAATTAATTATTTCTTTTTTTAACTATTAGTATTAGTATTGTTGATATTAAAATGTATCACCAAAGCTCGACAAGAGCGAACTATCTTTTGCTATTCAAGGCTGTACAAATGCTATATAAGTTGTGTACACCATATTTCGTTTAAGTTGAATTTTCCTACAATTAAATGAGTAGAGCTGATTTTTTCCATTGCATTTCAGATAGCTATGCTTTCTCAAAAGGTGTTTTCGTCCAGGGTGGACTGCAGTTTCGACCTCGTATAGGTCTTATCAACGCGTCTAGCGGGAATCGAACCGTGAGATATCGAGCTTTCACGCTGCACTGCCATGGTTCGACTCCCGCTTGGAGTGTTGAAAAGACCTATGCGAAGTCGGAACCCCAGTCCACACTGGATATGGACACCCGTTGGGAAAGCA